TGCACACTTATAGCAATAGACTACTGCCGAACTATATACCGAACGCCTTATCTAAGGCCTTACAACGAGTGTTCGGCCAGTAGGAGTATCCCGCCGGCCAAGGCCTCACCTTGGTCTTACCAACGGGGTTGTCCAGCACAGGGACCTTTAACCCAGGTCTTACGGCTCAAAATGTGTCCAGCACAGGGACCTTTAACCCAGGTCTTACGGCTCACAATAATAAGGAGACTACCCAACGGGTACGTTCTATAGATACGGGGATAACCGTTCGACGGCCGGTACAGCTCACATCGAAGGCTACATGTTCCACATGCATACTTGATCATACCAAAAATTTAAAACAGTAATAACATTTACAGCATAGACAATTTTACATTAAACCCACCTGGATATAGCATGAGGTTTAGCCAAGCACAAAGTTGAAGGAATTATGGCACAAGTTCAGCTCGAAGAACCTACAACAATTATAATAGCCTTTCACTGACTATCCAATATAAAAATACCACACAAGGCATATATACTTAGTCGAAATCATATCGACTAAGCGACTCGTGGATTCCTTGACTGAGTTAAGTACTATGGAGTGACTACTAGACCTGGACACAACTCATATACCTCAAATATTTCACATAAAACATGGAAACATTAAATAAATCCTATCCAAACCTAACCAACCGATAACCGAACATTAACACTCTAAAATAAACAAAATTCAGAATCAGGAGTTAGGCTCAGCCATTCAACCTGAAACTTTACCACATTATACAACATGCAAAAACACATAAACTCACCAAGTTTCAGCCCTAAATTCATCCGGGAACATTTTTAAATGATTTAAGCAAAAACAGCACCAAAATCAGCATTTAATAGTTCACAAAGCTAAACTTTGAATTTTAATCTGACATTTTTACACAACCTAAACCATCATAAAATAACAGGTTCCTGAAAGTTTCAGTTCAAAACTCCAAGTGTACGATTTTTAATGATTTTTACAAGTTTCTGCTTAGAAACCGTTTTAACCATTTGAACTTCAAAAACTCAGAAATAAAATCAGGGGCTTGGCACACATATTCCACATACTCAGAGGCAGAACATATCAAAAATTCAGCTCAAACAGATAACAACTCGATTTATGGTGAATTTATTACGGTTCAGCAGCATGCTCGGTTTAGAAAAATCGTATCTCTCAAATTATAGCTCGAAACAACTTCAAACCAAAACTAACAGATCAAGGACAACTCCAAGTACCTATAACTCCAGGATTTCCACGAAAAGAACCACATATATTCAGTTCGATAATTTTTCAAAGTGACGGCAATCACTTTGATATCCAATTCGCAAGTATATAACACAATTTTCACAATCCTCATTCAATAACAACACATCATCATATACTAGCACATATGATTCGAGATATCACGTCAAATGAACACATTCACATAATCGAGCACATAATATCACGCAAAAATAAACGAGACGGGTCAAGCCTTGTACCGTTCTCGAGAATCGAACGAAAACGGAACGAAAGGTTGACGAGCTCGATCACGCAACACGTCTCACGAGAGGACAGCGGCTCAATCGCGCCGGCCTGAATATGTGATTGTGGCGGAGCAGCGGCGGCTCGACAAATGGCGGGTGGCTGCTCGTAGAAGGCTCCGGCGATTGTTCACGAAACAGAGGCGGGATTTGCAGGCTTCCGCGGAGAAGACAAACTTGCCGGAGGAATTCGTCGGGGTTGCTGTTGGGATGTTCGCCGGCCTTCACGTGAAGGAGCAGGTCGCGATGTTGAGTTGCTGCAGAGATGGAGGAGGGCTCGCGAAGGTGAGGTCGCTGGAATTTGCAGGTCGTGGCGGGTCTTGCAGGTGGTGGCGTCGCGAGCTGGGGAGGTGTTGCAGCGGCTCGTCGCGGAGGAGAAGGACCAGTCGCAGGCCGCAGCGGTGGTCGTGGGTTCACGGCGAAAAGGATGATGGTCGGAGATGGTGACGGGTTCTCGACGTGAAACAATCCGGCAAGAAGAGATGAGCACAGGGTGATGGCGTGACAAAAAATTTGCAGAGGGAAGGAGATGACCGAAAAAAAAAACAACCGAGGGAGAGGAAAGGAGAAGATGATGACGGGCTGCTGGATTTCTCGAGAGAGAGATCTTCTCTGTTCAAGACGCGTGAGAGAAAAGCAAACAGACGATGGCTGCGGGGTGAGATACACGAGGGAAGGAAAGGAGCGAATTCAACAAATTAGGGTACCCTATCTTGCTTCTCAAGATATATAGGAAACGGGTCGATTTTTCTTTGGGTCGGGCTCGCGGGTCGGGGCTGGTTCAGTGAAACGATTCGGCTCTCGGGCCCGACTAGACGTAGAATTAAATCGGCTCGACAATTTAAATCGCACGATAAATAAACCGGATATTATATATATTTATACTACACACAATTTAAATTTAAAATAATAATAATATTAGTAAAAACACAAATACACATTTTAAATAAATTAATAACACCTAGACAATTAGGCAATTAATTAATATTTAGACAATTAAGCAATATTAGACAATTAATAATTTATAGCATTCAATAGTAATAACAACAATTAAAGATAACTAATAATAATAATAATAATAATAATAATAATAATAATAATAAATAATTCTCAAAAAATTCAACAATCAAACGGGGTATTACAATTTATCCTCCTTAAAACATTAACACATATAAAAGGAACGTCAGACTCGAACGGGAATTTCCAATCACGAGGTCCGGCATCACTCTCCGGAACTCGATTCTGTTCCTATGAGTCCTATCGCCTTCTACCCGAAGGCATGTACTCACATACAGGAACCAATCCGACTCGCCCTATGCTCATATGTTTACCTTCTTGCTTGGGAGGGTGATCAGTCCTGTCCGAGCTCAGGCGTACATCTTTCTTGCAAGGGACCCAGTTCGGTTTAGCCTATACTCTATTAGTTTGTTTTGTTCACCGTGAAGGTGTCTTGTACAGTCCTTCTTGGACAAACTATTCGGGCTAGTTAGCCTGCGGGTTGTAATCTTCTATCTTTGAGATATAAAATCTACCGTTTCGAA